GGCGTCGTCCGTGTCGCGCAGGTCCACGTCGTCCGCCATGAGCCTGCCGGCCATGTCGCCCATGGACGGCTCGGTGTACGGCTACCCGGTGGGCACCCTCATGGCGCCGCCCATCGGGCCCATGACGCTGCCCCTGGGCGCGCACATGGCCAGCCCGCTGCCGCCGCCCGGCGCCCTGCACCGCACCGACTCGGCCAGCGAGTTCAACGCCGCGGCCTTCGACGGCATGCTGGCGGCGTCGCTCCGCCACCCGCCCGCCGGCGGGGACGCCGTGGACGGCGGTGGACCGCCTGCTCCCGGACGGCTGTCCCGGGCGGGCAAGGGCCGGGGCCCCGCCAGAGCCCAGTCCCTCGTCGACCTGAGCCGGTCCGCGTCGCGTCTCGGCGACTACTGGCGGGTGGAGACAGTGACGGCGCCCGCGCGCCCCGTGGCCTACATGCTGCCCACCACCAGGAGCCTGGACCGGAGGCTGCGGCCGCGTCGCGCCGTGTCCATGGCCGACCTGGGCGCCAGCGTCCACGCCGCGCCGTTCGTCCACGCCGGCCACTTCGGGCCTGCGCACCACCCCATGTACTACAGGGACGCCTACGGCCGGGACTACGTCTACCCGAACCCCTCCGCCTACGTGCACCCCGGTATGCTGTACAAGGGCGCGTCCAGCAAGACCTCCCTCGGCGCCGCGTCAGATGACTTCCGAAAATACAGGGACGTGGCACTCTAGGCAATGGACGGACCTGCCCGACAGAATCTGGTGCCTACTTAGTCGTGGGTTCCTGCCCGAGAAAGAGCTTCAAACCTAACAAAAATTCCTCACAGCTTATTTGAGCGAGCAAGCAGGATACATCGAAGAAACGTTTCCCAGTGAGTGCCATTGCTGAAGAATGTGAGTAGTTTACAAGAAAATAAGCCTGTTAATTACATCCTAGTTAAATTTTGAAACCATTTGCTCAAACATTCCTTAAAAAGGAAAGACAGTGTTGCCGATAGGATATTTCAAAGTAAAATATACTCAGCACAGCAAAGAGTGAGTTTGTTTATCAAAGCCTTCTAATGGCTTGGCTAGTCATAAATGCCATCCTTAGATTTAAAGTTAAAGTGATACGTGTAAGTAGAGAAATAAGAAATTCTGAAATAAATTGTAATTCCGTACAGGCTATTTTTGTTGAGCTAATAAATGTATTTATACTGCCTAAAATAATAAATTTTGACAAGGAATTTAGTACATTTTTTGACTTTATCATTCTGTAGCAACTAATTATCACACACCAACAATTCACTGCGTCAGTCATTGCGAGGCAGCCATGCCAAGACACATGTGTCCACACGTAAACAAAAGAGAAAAAAAAAAAAAGAAACGACAAACTTCAAGTTGATTCTGAGATTTATAAATAACAACCAACCATTTGATTCTTACAAAACAGGAATCAAACAGGGATATAAAGATGGAAAATTTATAGACCTGTACAAGATTGAAAACTTTAAGACTAGCTTCAAAATATTTATCATAACAAACCACATGATCCTTAGTGAAAGCTCCGTAAACAAGATTAATACTAATACTCAAAAATACTTTTTGAAATAAGAAATTTTGGTTATATACTGTTATTAGCTTTACTCAAGCCTACAGAAAAGATGGAGAAAAAAAACTAACACGTAAATGTAAACATTTTGTCCTAGAAGTCATGCAAATGTGTTTCAAATTTTGTATGACACTTTTCCATAAAGACAGACAGGAATTATTTAATTCCAACAGCTTTAAAAGTGGGCAGCTATCAGTTTAGTACAGAGAATAATATTCATCAAATAAATATAATTGATTTTGAGAACTAGGTAGTAAAATGGTACACTAACTTCTTGAACACCACAAACTATCTCACTTAGAGTTTATCATGCTGTACGATAATCACAGTCTTGTTTTCAAGCAAAGCAGTTACAAAAGTTGGTCAGTAGACACCACACTTGACTAAGACCGATTCCTAGATTTCTTAGCTTTCTTTTTTTTAAGCCTCAATATAAAGAAATTTATTAGGGGTAGTGTAAAACAGTCAAAATCTGGAATTCTGTGAACACACCAGGAAATTGTACAATGATTTTAAAAAAATGTAGCTTAAACAATCAAGTAAACAAATCCGAGTTGTGTAGGGCAAACATTTATCATTCAATTGATTAGAATATGACCCATCAAAATTTCAAACAAAACAGAGCAAAATACTTCACATAAATAGTACGAAAAAACAATTATGTGCATATGTATTGGAGACAAGTCACCTTTAAGATAATGAAATAACCTTTAAGCCCCTATGTAATCTCTCATCATTGTATTTTCTTCTTTCGGGGAGCTTTCACTTTTTGCTTTTCACCTCCAGTGAAGAAAGATGTTAGCATCTCTGACATTTCAGGCATATCATAGCGCGTTAAGCTGTTGAGATGCTCCATTTCCTGTAATACAAAATTTCATGTAATATGTTTAACATATATGCTTAATAGAGAACAAATTTGTGAGATTGTAAATCAGCTAAGAGAGTGATGGTACATACTTTTCTGGTTTCTGGATCATTCATTACTTTAGGGAGAATCATGATGATGACCAATGGCAACACCATCATCAAAACCTGAAAGCATTCAGTACATACAGATGTCTACAGAGTCAGAAGAAAGCATATGAGAGCAAAAGAAATAAGACAATGACTATAACCATACCATTGGACTGTACAAGAAATCGGTTGCTCTCCACTGCTCTCGAACTTGGAAGTACCGGTGGCGGGCCAGTGGAGTCAGTGCCAGAGGGTAAGCAACAGGATCTACAGTTGATGTTTGAATGTAGTTCACTTTGCGAGCCCTCAGCTTACCCTTAGAGTTAATTTCGACACGCACAGGCTCATAAGCAAATGTGGGGTTTACAACTTCGATGACATAAGAGCCGGTGGGTACATTGTTTATAACAAAGCTATTATCTTTCCTGAAAAGAAAAAAATCAAGATATGAACAACTGAAGATCAAGAGGAATGAAAGAAAATTTAAACTGGATTTTGGGAATAAGCCAAAAGATGAGGTAAATGTGCAGACTGTTGAGCGTGCAGCAGTCTAGACATGGCCAGCAACACAAACTGACCTTAAAATACCGATAAATTCCCCACCGTTAGCCAATATTCTTGTCTGAGAGTACCAAGAATTACTAATTGGACCATCGGGTGGGAAAACACGGCCTTCAATGGTGTAAACATCTTGGTTAGGTTCTACATCTCTTTGAGCAAATGTTAAGCAAACTAAAATTAGGATATTTAACACAGAATATAATGGTTGACAAAACTGCATTTTGTTTCAATATTGATTCAAGTTCGAAAAGGCGGATAAAATAGGCAGGAGATAGATATATTGCACGACACAACGTCTCTGACAACCTACAACTACCACAACACAGCAGAAAACTTCGTTGCAGTTTCGATATGGGAAATTCAGATAGGTAATGACAAGTCTGACAACTGCAATGCATTATGGGAGAAGCGCGCGAAGATTTGAATGTCATCCTTTGGCAGAACAAAAATTGCAAATTGCAAGAAACATGAACACTCAAATACTCCACTACAAGTGTCTTCGCGATCTTAAAAGTTCTACACTGTACTGTGCCGTTTTCCCTTTTGTTCTTTGCGTCAAGCGTTCCAGCGCAAATTTCGTCGTTCAGACAGCCATCGGCCATCGTGCCGATATGAATGTGAATCAGCACTGTTTGTGATTCAGAGATCGCCTGCTAGAGGAAGCAAATATGTCATTTTCTGTTGTGGCGTGTTGTGGTTTTTGATCCCCAAATTTCCATGATTGCCTCACGCGAGAATGGGCCTACATGCAAGATCGTGAGTCCTCGAGGATCAAGGTAATCTCTTTGCTCTTCGGGCCTGTCACTGGCGCTGTTCGGCCGGCCTCTGATGGACTGGCCACCTGCTGACAGCTACTAGCCCTCTGCAGACGGCCGGTTCATGTCTCATGAACTTTTATTCATCCACGAATGGATACAATATCCTTGGTTTAAAGGCAGACTTAAGGTCATGGCAGTCCCGTCAGTATTATATTACATTCAGAGCTCCTCTGTAGACAGTTGTCTTGTCTAGCCGATTAAAAGGGTTTTGTTGGGACTTAACCTCGTGACATAAACAAACTTTTTAGGCCTAGGGGGAGTTTCAACAACCCATCCTCTGTCATGGAAGATGTATTATTTTGGGATAATGCGTAGCTGGAGATAAGCCTACTGGTACCCGTTTTTATCAACCCTCTGCACCATGTTTTGATTTACTGTCAGTTCTGTACAACATGCAGCTTGGGAGGGTTTGTTTTGCTTTGTGACTGGCTGATGATCTATATACCCTGCACAATTTATTACTACATTGTAGGAACCTATAATGCAGCTTACCTCTTGCCTTTTGATTCTTTGAATCATTTATAAGGTTTTAATTTAACCTTTCTTTTTTATACAGATCGTGATGGAGGATAGTTTAAGTGTCAAATCTAATGATTCTGCCACGACCAGTGATGAATATGAGTTTGTGAACGGGACCGCTAGTGGCAAGGGTTCGGACAGTCATTTGATCAGCTGTGCTGTTGCTGGTGGAGGTTTACCTCAGACCAAACATCAACAGCCCCTGTTAGACATCTCAAACGGAAATTTAGATGATCTAAAGAAGTGTTTAGGTGAGGTCTTGAGTGAAGAAAATAGACCAGAATTCCAAGAAGGAAAAAATTGCTCCAGAAAAAAAATGGATGATAACTCTGAGTAAGTAAAATAGACTTTTGTGTTTCTCTGCTGCTTTCATTTTATTCAACTGACATGTCAATTATCAATTTTTTTTTTAAATATTCAGATCAGTAGCAGAATCATCTCAAGAAACAGAGACATCGCTTTCCACACATTCTGTGAAACATGTGCCTGTGACTGCAACTGTAAAGAAAGTAGGCCAGAGCCAATTTTATTCTTCGAGTCCTGTAATAACCACACCATCAAACTCACCAAGTGATGATGAGGAAGAGGCTGGTAAGTATCCAAAGAGTACAGCAAAATCTGACATAGCACCAAATTTAAACTGTTAACTTTAAACTTGTATTTTACTTTAGTTCCAGATGTAATGCAAAATGGGACAATATTTTCTGGCATTGTCTCTTTAGGTAAAGCAAACATCAATGCGCCTCGTTCAGAACAAGAAATTCTTCGGAACATGAGAATCCTTAACAGAGAACAGGGCACAGCAGTGATTAAAGTCTCCTTATCTGTACCCAATACTTCTGATGGCTATGTGCAGTAAGTGTGTAACCAAGGCTAAAGAGTTAGCCTTGAAATTTGAAACTTTGGTTTCTGTCCCTTAATTTACATCCTACTTGATTCTCAGGCTACATGATGCTACTGGGCGCTTCATAGCAAAATATGAGGTCACCCTCATCACCTATTTTACCCATGGCTCAGCAGGAACTCCAGAGGAAGCCTGTTTTGCTTTCACTTGCCCTTTGGGTCCTCGTGAAACGTCAGAATCCACCATATTTCAGTGTCATGTTTTTCGTTGTGATATTCCTGAAGCTGTGCGTTTTTAAGTTTCTTCAATTTACATATTAGTCTTAGTCAGTTTGGATTTCACTCATGTTTCCTTTCAATCTCATCAGGTTGGCCAGGTATCGAAGGGTTTTGCAAGAGCTTTCAATCCCCATGTTCCTCGCTCTATGACAAGCTCAGTCACTGGTGATCTAGGTTCCAACACATCAGAACGAAACAGTAATGTGTACGTTTTCGAAGTCAGCCTTGAAATTAAAGAAGAAGATAATAGGGTGTGTGTTTTCTTCAGATCATTGGCTTGCTGAACTTCAGTCTGTACATAATATTGCATTGTGCGTTAACTACTGCATCTTAATTTATTACAGGGAGGTTATAGCACAGTTCCCAAAGACCGTACTTGTTTTAAACTACGAACTAATCTATCCAAACAGTTGCATCTCAGCGTGCAGCAAGTTTCAGATAATGAATTTGATCTACGAATTGAAAAATGTTTTGGTGTTTTGGTCAGTCCAGGAAGACGAGTGAAACATAGTGATATGCAGTTGCTGGAAATGGTAATAATTTTCTTTCATCTGTTTTAAATGGATACTGAGCCCATTAACAAATTATATTAAAATTATAATGATAAATGTCGTAGATACTTTGGTGAAATTATAATTTCTTTCTTAGCAGGTTTCAATGGGTTCTGGCAGTGGAGATCGACAGTGTTGCTATATATCAGGCCAGCTAGATCCTGCTGACCCTGCATTTGAACTGCTGAATCAAGAAACACCTAGAGATCAGAATTGTACCTACATGACAGTTGCAGTGGATCTTGTTATTAATGGAATTCAGGAACCTGTTCGTTTTCTCATTGAAACTCCTATTAAAGTTTTCCCATTAACTGAACGGTTCTGGCAATTCACTCGTAGACCTCTGCTGCAACAATTTATGCTCACACTGAAAGAGGTACCAATTTTCATTTTTATTGCAATGATAATAAATGTTTCTGCAATAATTTTCAGTGTATTCATATTAAAACTTGTCTAGGTACCAAGAGTTGATTCGAATGATGTGGACTTCGAGTTGGTATCTATTAGGACAACTGGTGAACTGGAGCGTAACCGACGCAACTTGACGTTAAATCTTTCTGGTCTGATTCGTTCTTCGGATGTAGATTTAGAGTCAATGACGCCCAAAGATGACCTTTCTGGTTAGTCCTCTAGAATACTTTCATGTCGTGTTAAGTCCTTTGATACGCATGCATTAACGTATGTATTTCCACCCTTGCCTAGATGGTGACGAGGCCCTTCTCAGTGGCACAGGTGACGTGTCCAAGGATTGTACAGAGGGAGAACTTGACTCATGGAATTTAGTGCTTCAGCAATGGCAGAGTACTCAGAAACGACCTAAGCAGCTTGCGACATTAGTTAAACAGAGTATACCTGAAGCTCTGCGCGGTGAAGTATGGCAACGATTAGCTGGTTGTGAAAATGATAATGCCATGATGGACCAATATCGCACGCTAATCACTCAAGTTAGTTGATTGGTATTATTATGTCTAATTTTAACTGTTACTTCCATGTTGTGCTAACCTGTATCTCTCATGTTTCTAAATACAGGACTGTGTCTGTGAGAATGTTATCATGCGTGATATCAACCGAACTTTCCCTGCTCATGATTTTTTCAAAGAAGCTGGAGGGCTTGGTCAAGACTCTTTGTATCGTATCTCTAAAGCATATGCTGTGTATGATAAAGAAGTTGGGTATTGTCAGGGATTAAGTTTCTTAGCTGCAAGTTTGTTACTTCATGTAAGTTCAAAACCATATGTACTTTTGCACCATTTGAAAATTGATTATTAACCACATTTCTGTCACAACAGATGCCAGAGGAACAAGCTTTCTGTGTTCTTGTGAAGCTTATGTATGATTATGGCTTGCGAGATATGTATAAGGATGGTTTTGAGAATCTCTACTTGAGACTTTATCAACTTAACAAACTGATGGAGGTGAGGTGTGCTGTGCTGCATACTCAACACACATTGCAGTATTTTCATTTTCTATACAATCTAATATGGCTTTATTTTAAACTTTTCTTGATTGTTTCTTCTTCTCCAGGAACATCTACCTCAACTTTGGCGACACTTCTCTGATATGAGTGTGGAGTCCCACATGTTTGCTTCCCAGTGGTTTCTCACCCTTTTCACAGCTCGTTTTCCTCTTAACTTTGTTTTTCATATTTTGGATGTGTTTCTTCTCCAAGGAACTGAGACACTTTTCCAAGTTGCTATTGCTCTCCTCAAAGTAAGTTTGTAGTTTATTGATTAATTGTTAAAATAGCTTTTTACCATGCTTTTTCCAAAATTTAATTCTTATCCTTTGTTTTCCTAAATCAGTTATGCAAAAAGGATTTACTGCAACTGGATTTTGAGAACATTATGAGGTATTTCAGGGTGCAAATGCCTAAGCGCTGCCGCACTAAAGAGGTTTCTCAGCAAATTATGCGCTTGGCCTGTGGCATCAAAGTAAAAAAATTGAAGAAATATGAACAGGATTTTATTGCACTTAAAGGTCTGATTACTTTGTAGTTTCATTTGTTTTAAACGTCACTAACTTTACATGCACTAGAATTTTCTTTAATTTACCCGTATTTTGGACAACAGAGGAACAAGACAATGCTGACCAATGTGCTACTGAAGTGGAGCAGTTAAAACAAGTCCTCATTCGCACTGAAGAAGAGAAAAAGCAACTCCTTCAAGAATCAATAAAAGTGAAAGAAATGTTGAAGCGAGAAATAGCAAAAGCTGAAAATGAAAGCTCCAGAAGTGCTACCATCATTTCTGAGTACAAGCAGGTAAAAATCTTTTTGTTTACTTATTTTCATAGTCCCTGCTATCAGCTGTATTTGTCTGTTTCAGCCACATGTATGTATCTATTACCTATTTTTCATTCTTGCCCTGTTCTCTAGATCTGTCAGAGAATGGACATGGAACAAGCAACTGCAAAGGCAGCACTCTGTAAATTAAGAGTAGGTGTTTAGGTCCATAAATATATTATCTTATCTTTTCACCTTGTTGGTGTAAACCAGTAAGTTTGACTGAATCAATTTCATGTTTCCAGAACCAGGTTGCTGAATGTGAACATTGTTCGGCTTTAACTGCAGCTGTTAGTGCTGACATTGGCATCTCTAACTCAGCTGAGGATCTTATTGAGGCTAGTAATGGGTCTGGAGATGAAAATCTAGGACGTGCTCAAGAACGTATCCGTGAGCTGGAGCTGGAACTGGCAAAGACAAAACTGGCTCATGTTGAAGCGGAGTGCACAAATCAGGTCTGTCATCATGTTATTGACCAAGTTTTTGCACGCTTTACCCATATAGCAAAGTCACCTCTCTACTTCTTTGCATTATGCAGGACCTGACTCACCAGCTTCATGCTGCACTCATAGAACTTCAGACCACACGAAACTCCTGGCCACCATGGCTCTCTAAAACCTTATCATCAATCAAGGAGGCAGCATCTGGGCTTCCTTCAGGTGGGTCCGCCATGACACTTCCCCGTCGTGAGTCCGCCCCCTCGTCTCGATCACGACCCAACAGCAAGCTACGCACCAGCTCGAGTGTGGAGTGGTTTATACATGAGCCAATAACTCCAAGTTTGGCATCCCCACCTGCCTCAATTAGTGGATCTGTGTCAACTAATGCTGTCAATGTTGAACCTCCTGTGAAAAATCCATCATCTCCATCAGAGTAATGTGAGTGTTGCACTAAAACCAATCTGAGTTTATTAACACTAATCAAACTGGAAGTGGAACTCTGATTTGTTATTTGTGAGCGATATTTGTTAACCTTATGACTTGGACAAAAAGAAAATTGCAAAATTCTGTACTTCTAATTTTTCTCTTTTCATTCAAGCGTTCATGAAATACTGAATGCTTGTTATGTGAAAGTGTTGCTGTGTCCGTCCACTTCCAGAACTTGGCTTTTCAATGTAAAAGTAGTGTGTCTGTGTTGTTTTCTTACATTGTTTGCCTCCTTTAGTTTTGGTAGAAAGGATAGAGTGTCCCTTTAAAATAATCTCATTGGCTTTTTGGGACTGTGCCATGTGCTCTTTTTTTTTTTTTTTTTTTTAAATGTATTCTAGTTCTTTTTAATTGTATAACTCATTTTGGAACTTCTTCTGAAGTTTGATCTATTTTTGGATGAATAGATTTTGGTAGCAAATGTCATGTATTGCATATCATATTAAAAACAACTGGGACTATTTCATCAGCTTACATTAATAGCCAATGCAAGATCACTGTCATGAAGTGGCTCCTACTTTCTTTATTCCAGTCTATTCAATTCCAAATGTCAAAACTGCTATGATCTGAAACCATTCTTTTTAGGAGAAAGGAATATATTAGTCTGACAATATTTATCACAGTAAACAAGACCAGGTTAGTTTCTTTTCCTACATTGTCACAAATTGAAACTGTTTTATTACTATTAAATCCTCTAGTTTTAAGAAAAACCACTCTTAAGTATCTCCACATAGCATTTTTTAGTCGGGTGTTTGGTGCTGACTAGTTTTATTTGTACTAATTGAGTTATGCGTTTTGGTAAAGCGTTATGTTGAAGTGTATGTCATTCTTTGTTATAAATACAGCTAATGTATTAGGTTTTTTCTTTCCCTCTTTAGAGTGCTAAGCCTCAAAGAAATAGTCCTGTAGATTGGCAAGCTGTGCAATTACATTGTTATAGATGAGTATTCTGGTTTACATTTTCATAGTATTCCACTTCCCCAGATACCAGATAGATGGTGTCTGCTAGGGCAGTGATACATATCTATATGTTTGCGATTGGTAACAGGGCACACTTGCTCTTTTGTTACACTGTTGCTTTTGTTGTGGCCTTAATGAATGATGCCATGTGTACTTGATGGTTTAAAAAAATCATAATTGATTTGGATTTCCAATTATGTATTCTATTCATGTGATACAAATAGCATTGATGTGAGTGTTCTGGATATTAAAATTCATATTTAATGCATGTGATGGTCTATAAAAACTTAATAAGAAGTATGATTATTGTAAAAAAATAAAAATAATATCAAAGTGTATGTTTTAAGAAAAAGTCATGTCTATAATAGTATTTGGGCAGATTTTACAGAGGTTCTTGGTGAGTTACCGATTTTTAAAGTGAAGGTTTTGCATTTACATGCACTTATGCAAATGTACTGTGCATTGTTGTTTCTGTAAACCGCTATGGGATTTGGTCTTTGTTTGAAATGTCGTTTGTTCTAGGTTTTGTGAACCGTGTTTCATATATTATTGTCCCAACACCTTTTTTTCAACATTCCTCAACTGGTTATGTTGGCTTTCACCGTAAAATTTTTCTTGAGAAGACAACTCATAGATGAATTGTTTGCAAGAAAGCCGTTTATTTTTAGTTGATGCACCCTCTCTCATTTAGATTTGCATTTTGTGTATTACTAATTTAGCTGTCTTACTTGTGGCATGATCTCATTGCCTATTAACTTGACTCATATTCTAAGGTAAACCATTCTGATCTTATCCATATTAGTGGATGTCATTCATAGATTCTATATCAGACCCATGTTTGGTTTATGGATTCGTCAGGTCAATTCCACCTGACTATCAAAGCAATTGTGTCTTTTTGTTTTGTTTTTGTTAATAATTCTGAGTTTCTAGAACGGTCACTAATCATCAGTCATTGCAGTCATCTCTTGATGTTGTTCGTTGGAATGTAATTTTCATTAGATAGTTGGTTTTATGTTCCCACCTTAAGAAGCACCATTCCCAAACACATATATACATTTATACCCATTGTTTTACTACCCCTAATATCTTAGGACATTATAATTATTATTATTATTTTTATGAAATGTTTTTTTTTTCCCCCTTTTGCAATGTTACTAATATTATTGTAAGTCCTCAGACCAAACAGATGTCAGTTGAACTTTCTTATAATCCACTTTGTTTTCTTAGACTTATCATTTTTATTTGTTTTGGATATTTGTATTGTCATGTGTCCTGTGCCATAGATTCATTTTTGATAAGATGTTGATGTTGACCACCGTAGACTTACTAACTTCATAATGACCATCATCTTAGATTTTAATATTAAATATTAGTAGGGTTT